ACACCTTAATATTCATTTAAATTTTATCATATTTTTAATATAATTAATTAAATTTATCGTATCATTAATTAAATTTAAATATTAATTTTAATAAAATTCATTTAATATAAATTTTTAATTAAATTTTTTATTCACAATTATAATAATTTTTTTAATTATAATTATAATAATTTTTATTTTTATTTTTATTATAATAAATCTCATTATCCATCCAAATAAAAATTTTATTTTCTTTATATCATAACGTCACTTTTTTTAATAACTTATTTTAAAAGTCAAGTCCTTTCAGGCTCTTTCCTATGATCCATCACGGATCACAATTTTCTATATGTAGAATAAAAGTGAATATGCAATAATTACAATAAAAAGTTAAAGGTGAAAAAAATTAAAAATTGATTTAAAATTATGATGTTAAATTTAGTTTAGATCATTTTTTTATTAAATTTAGATCAAATTTAAATATTAAATATATATATTAAATTTAGATCAAATTTAAAATTTGAATATGAAAAACGAAAAAAAAATCAAATCAAATTATATATATTTAAAATTTTTATAAAATAAAAATAATTCTTTTTTAGAAATCTATTTAAATATATTAAAAATTAGATTAAAATAATATACAAAAATTTTAGATTTAAAAATTAATAAACCAAATCGAATTAGTAAAATTCAGTTTTGATCAGATTAATTCAAAAAAAAAATCAATTAAAATTCAGATCAAATTTTAAAAATTCTTAATATTATACATTCTAAAAAAATGAACTAAAACCAATCAAATCTAAATCGTTATCACTCCTAAAAAAAATTATTATTACCAAAAAAAAATTTCACGCTATTGCTATATATAAAATCCTTTATTTGAAATTGAAGTGCACGTTTGGTCAAATTACCAGCTACTTTATTTCTTATCCTTTGAGAAATTTACTAAGTGTAGAGTGAAAATTTTCAAGTAATTTCGACCACAAAAACCTTTTTTTCAAGTAATTCCTTAATTTGTCTCTTTTAAAGAATGTTTATGTTTGGTTTAGTCTCTTTAGGATATGATCATTTGTAATATTCCACGATGATAAAGCTTGACATGAAAAAGTACTTGTAAACTAAACTAGTTCCTGTACTTCAGAAGTTTACTAGGTATTGAGTAAAATTTTCCAAGTTGCTTCTTTGTCTCCTTTGAAGAATACTTGTCTTGTTCTTAATCTCCTTAAATAAATACCTTTTGCAATATTCCAAGCTGATATATAGAATTTGATACCGAAAAATACTTCTAAACGACTACAGGAAATGAAATTTTCACCACATATGTTGACAAAAAAATGCTGGAATTAAAGAATATATTAAAGTCTGTGCAAAGGGCAATAAAATAATTGAGGACAAGAGTACAAACTGATGAGTCACCACAAAAAGGAGGTACCAAAGGCATCCAATGCCAAAGATAACAGACGTCTCAGCAAGTCCATCCACGGCGAGGACAAAGCAAGTAAAGTTTCTCAGATTTACAAGATAATATTTATGTAAAAAACAAAAGTAGTCTGGATAAAAACAATCCCTCAGTGCAAATTTAACTCAGAAGAGATATTGCCAACTAATGAGGAAAGTAGAATTTCACAGTCGTACCTATCGTCAGAAAGAAAAAGGTTGTTTCGAGCTATTTGAACCATTCATTTATAATGACATACAACTGTGAAGATAAGAGAATTAATTATTTAAATATCTGATGTAAGTAATGATATAAAAAATTTTCTTTTAAACGAGGATATTAATTCAAAATTTAATTTAATTAATTTATAAAATTATTTAAAAAATAATATTTATAACATTTTTTAGTTCAAACTTAAACTTTGCTTACAAAAAAACCACTGTTTGTATTTTGAATTTATGCAGTTACTTTTTTTTTGTTGAAAAAAAATTAAAAATTAAAAAGATTAATTTATTTTTAAAATTAAGATAAATCATCCATTTATAAGAAAATTTATAAAATTTGTAAATTTTTTTAAATTTACATATTATCTATCAATATATCATAAAAATTTCAATTTGAATATTTTATATTCAAACCTTAAATTTTAATTAATTAAACCAATTTTTATCGAAATTTATTCAATTAATTTATATTTACATATGCCTCCGGTTATAACAATTTGAATAAAACAATATAATCAAAATGTACTTCTTTCAATTTTATTTACAGAATCAAAAGGAAAGTTTTTGCCAACTGAATTAATTTTTAATCAATTTTTAACACCTTACTTTCTTAAAATCGTAATGTTATTGTTTTTAATAATTTATTTTGGAAGGCAAGTCCCTTTAAACTCTTTCCCATGATTCGTCCTTGGTCACAATTTTTATATGTAAAATAAAAGTGAATACTTAAGAATTACAATAAAAAAGTTTGGGGTGAGAAAATTAAAAATTAATTTAAAATTATAGTATTTAAATTGATTTAGATTATTTTTTATTTAATTTAAATCAAATTTAATTATTAAATATATATATATATATTAAATTTAGATCGAATTTAAATCTAAATGTAAGATCTAATTCGATCTCAATTTAAAAAAAAAAAAAAACTTTTGACCTTATCTAGAATTTTTAAAAACCCGCACGTATTGAATTGAAGCAAATCAAAAATTCACGAGATAAAGGGTTTGTTTTGGCAACCTTAAACGTAATAAAAAAGAAATGACAAGAAAAATAAGTTAAATAGAGAAACAACGTAATAATTTTATTAATATAATACATATATATAATTATAAATTAAAATAAATAATAAAATATATATCTGAACTAAATAAAATACTCTAAACTTGCATCTAATTTAATAATGATTTTTAAAAAAACCTCAAGGCGATCCCAAATTTTAAAAGAACATATTTATTGGATCCGAAGGAATCAAAACCTATTACGTTAGGAATAGAATTGTAACCATATTTGGCTGCAGGATTATTTTAATTTTTTTAAAGTTATATTTCGAATATGTGAGAAGTAAATTTTTCATGTCATGTTTTAAAGGAAGACAACATATAGATAAATATAAGAGTATTTATTTTTTATTATAAATTATAAATTAATTATATATAAAAATATGTCTTTTATTAAATTAAAATACTACATAATATCTTTATTGATATAATATATATAAATAAAAATTAAATAAATAATAACAAATATTCTTTATATATCTTTAAAAGTATCGGACAGAGCGCCTCAAACATTATTTTATCTTGACTCAAGTTATTTAAAAAGATAAAACTTAGCTCAATTTTTATTTAAAGAAAAAAAATGAATGATTGGATTATGATAAATTGAAATCTATCACATACATGTTGTTTTATCATCCTTATATTCATCTACTCTTTCTTGTAAAATCAAACTTATAGGCTGATACGAAAAACATTAATTCGACAATTAAGGAATTATTGATGCATGCGTGCACGCATCCAAGTTCATTTTTCTTTCTTGATGCTTGTCGTCTTTGACTATCTTTGTTTGATTATTGGACAAAAATCATTGTAATGCCCAACTTTATTTTTTGCATTTTTTTCCTTTCATTATAAGTTTGATTAATACTGTTGCATGGAGAAATCAAAGAAATACAAATGGTAAAGAAAATATAAAAGTGAGGATAATCACACCATTCGCATTTACTAAAATTATTATTATTATTATTATTATTATATCCATGTTTTGAATGATTTTTTAAATTTTCGTGCAATAATAAAAAACTTGCCATATTATTTCTATTTAATTATATTTTTCTCTCTTCCACCCACATATGGCATGAAGGTAAGAAAAGCTATTAGTGTTAAATGTGTACGATTAGATAAAACAAGAACCAGCAACAACTCTGAACATTTAAAGATTTAAAGATTTATATTTGATGCATTATGTGTATAAATGTTATATATTAGAAGTGAATCACACAATGATATTTTATAAAAAAATAATTTTAAATATATATTTAAAATTAAGTGTATTTGTTTTTTATGATTTTAAAATTTTAAAATTAATTTTTTTGAAGTGTCATACATAAATAAATATAGTTATATATAATGATAATATATCAAATATAAATTCAATATCTTGTTTTTATTATTGACTTTTACAAACCCGATAAAGAAAAAGAGTTTCCATCCAAGGTCAGGTTTTCTCTTGTCTATCATTTTTCCATTGAAATATAACTAAATTTCCTTAGGTATTTTAGCTTTGAGATAAAAACTATTGTAGCCATAAATTGCCTTAATTGTTTGGTGCATTATCCTCCATTTAAAAAACAAGATTTGAATATCCGCTCCCCAATTAAAAAAAAAAAAAAAAACTACTTCTGTAAAAACAGAATTTATTATATTTTATATAAGGAAAAAATTAATAGAACAATAAAAAAGTATAAATTCTTTTTTTGGTTAAATAACTCCTAAAGTAATTGTAGGTTGTTTAATTTTCGTAGATGTATGGGCACAATTCCATCAGAATTTAAAATCTTTTAGTATTTTTGTTTTTCTTTTGTAACCAATATATATATATATATATATATATATATTTGAAAAGATTCATTTGCATTGATATAAAACTTTGTAGTTTTACATTTTTTAATTATTAATTTCAATAAATCTAAAAAAGAAAGAGATAATTAAAAAAAAAATTTTATCTCATCATTAGATTTATTAAAATCAATATTAGAAACCAGTGTAAAATTAAAAATTTTATACTATAATGATAACTCAAAAAGAGAAAAAATGATTGAATCGCATCCTCTTAATTTATTAAAATTAATGATTAAAAAATTATATAAATTAAAAAATTTTAAACTAGAGTAAATTAATTCCTTATATATATATATATATATATATGAGTAGGAATTAATTTATAATAATGTAATTCTTATACTTTTTTGGAACATTTAAATCAAAATTATTATATTTAAAAACATTATTTTAATTCAAATGAGAGTCAAATTAACGAGACAATACATGCGAATGCGGGATGGTTATCATGCATGAATCTGCAGCTTATTGTTTGTTTCCTGAAATGTTTGGACACATTCATCGGCTAAAGTCTATATAAGGGAACACTCTTCTTCCAGATTTTCACAAGTTGCTCAAATATTGAGTGGATTACTCTAAATTAGAAATTTTCAATGGGATTGTCGCTTTTCTTTGTTCTTCTAGCCCTTCCTAGCTTCATCCTCTTCTTTCTCCAAAAACATAGAAACAAAAATGCTGCCAAGTTTCTTCATCCCCCTGGCCCGTCTGGTCTTCCCTTGATCGGCAACTTACTCCAGCTTAATAGCTCAGCGGCTACTCATATTTATCTTTGGGAGCTCTCTCAAAAATATGGTCCTTTAATGTCCTTGCAACTTGGTCATAGACAAACTCTAGTAATTTCTTCGGCAAACATGGCCAAAGAGATCATGAAAACCCATGACCTCGATTTTTGTAGCAGGCCTACTTTATGTGGCCAGCAAAAGTTATCTTATAATGGCTTAGATTTGGGTTTTTCACCTTATAATTCTTATTGGAGAGAGATTAGGAAAATATGCGTCGTCCATCTCTTTAACCCTAACAGAGTGTTACTTCATCGTCCCATTCGAGAAGATGAAGTTGCTCAAATGATCGAAAAGGTATCCAAAGCATCAGTCGGTTCGAAACCAATCAATTTGAGTGAGGCATTGATGTGTCTTACAAGTAGAATAATTTATAGAGTAAGTTTCGGCAAGAGATATGAAGAAGAAGGAACTGAAAGAAGTAGATTCGATGCGTTGCTTAAGGAAACTCAGGCCATGGTTGGGAGCTTCTTCTTTTCTGATTATATCCCTTTCATGGGTTGGGTCGATAGACTCTCCGGTTTACTTGGTCGTCTAGAAAAAAATTTCAAAGACTTTGATACCTTTTATCAAGAACTCATTGATGAACATCTTGATCCAAATCGGCCAAAACCCGAGCAAGAGGATTTTCTTGATGTTCTACTACAAATATGGAAGGATCGTGTGTTTCAAGTTGATCTCACTTTCGATCACATAAAAGCTGTGCTGATGGTAATCGATCTTCACTCAAAACTTATTTTAGTTATTTTTTAGTAAATTTTATTCAAATCACGATTTTTTAAAAAATGTTTCGTGTTCATCATTAACCTAAAAATCTCCCTCGACATTTTAAAATTGTTTCAAATTTCATTTTTTTTGGCAGTCAAATGTTAGAAGCTTGATGCAATTAGGCACTTCTGTTCCATGTGAATGTTCAAATGATCAATCAATCCACAATTTAAATACACATGGCACTAATTGTCTGTTAAATATTGTCAAGAATTTAATGTCACATTAATTGATGGAGGAGGAAGCATGTATTTGGAATAATTTAAAAGATCACAGATGGAAATTTGAAATTTAATTAAATTGATTTACATAATTATTTATTACAAATTTGAGATTTAAATTTTAGTATATAATTTAACCTTTTTTCTCATTTTCAAACTACAGCCCTCTTTAAAACAAAGAAAAAGAAAAACAGAATAAGTAATGATAAACATGAAAGTTTTAGTTTAAGGCTGAAATGAAACAATATATTTTAAAAAGTCTCATATTGTAAATAAAATGTACTCATTTATTCAGGGTTATCATTAATTTTCTAACTTCCTAGTAGGAGTACGATTGTTACCCATTTTGTTTTCTTTTTATGTAGAATGTATTTGTTGGTGGGACCGACACCAGTGCTGCAACCGTGATTTGGGCAATGACCTTCCTAATGAAGAATCCTAGGTCTATGAAAAAAGTTCAAGAGGAAATCAGAAATCTCAATGGAAACAAAGGTTTCGTAGATGAAGATGATATTCAAGGTTTGCCATATCTTAAAGCTGTGATAAAAGAAACATTCAGATTGCAACCAACGGCTCCATTATTAGTGCCACGAGAAACAATTAGGAAGTGCAATATAGCCGGGTATGAAATACCTGCCAAAACACTAGTTTTCGTGAATGCATGGGCAGTAGGAAGAGATCCTGAAGCTTGGGAAAACCCTGGAGAGTTCTATCCTGAGAGATTCATTGGCAGCTCCATCGACTTCAAGGGACATGACTTTGGGCTCATACCATTTGGTGCTGGAAGAAGGGGCTGTCCTGGAATACATATGGGAGTTGCAACTGTAGAGCTAGCCCTTGCCAATCTGCTTTGCAAATTTGATTGGGAAATGCCGGTTGGGACGGACAAGGATGACTTAGACTTTGATGTGATACCTGGTCTTGCTATGCACAAAAAAAATGCTCTTTTCCTTGTAGCTAGGAAGTTTAATGTTTGATTCGATCCATGTAAGGTTAAATTAGTTTGCTGCTTGCTATGGTTTGGAGTGTTTCAATTACATTTTGTGTTTTGAGTGTATTTTATGATAAAATCAATGTCCACATGTGTTGGTTATGAAGAGTTATGGTCTCATAGACTTGATTTTGTGGAAGTTATAACAGAATTTTGAAGTAGTTAAACCACAACCAAAAAAATACAAATTGAGATTAGATTTATTAATAAAAACCAAATTTAACCAATTGAAATATTTAAAACAAAATTCTATCCATTTATTAGGAGTTAAATTTTGTGACTATGATTAAGTCAAGTAAAAATTCCATTGTAACTTCCACCAAACTGAATCCATGGGATAAAAACTCTTGAAATGATAATTTTTTTTTCTTACATAATTTGTGAGCGTGTTTAAAAATTCAATTGAATTTATTTAGATTCTAATTGCATCGGACTATTTATATGGATATTTAGATTTAAAAGATCCGTAATTTAATTTATTTGAGCTTGAAAACCCGAAAGCCAATGTATCGCCCAACAAGGACCCAAGTTTTTATATTAATTAAGTTTTATTCATTTAATTTTAAAAAGTAAATAAAAGGACGAAAATCGAAATAAAAAATTGGTGGCAGTGATGTGATGCTGCCGTGAATGGCACCATCCGAAGAGAGCGGCTGGGCTGTCGATTTCATGCTGCCAGCCTCCCCCTGCAGCTTCACTCTTCCCTCCCGTGATCACCTTGTTCAGGGTAATGGTAGCTAATCCACCGTACTAAGCAACCAAAGTAGAGCTTAACAGGAAAATCAAAATTTTTAATTAAAGTGCAAGTTTGAAAACCAAGAACGCAGAAGATAGGATAGCAAAAATTATGTAATTTAAGAAATTCAAATAAAAGATCAAATATTTAAATTTGAAATTTTAAAATTTTTAAAATTATGAAACTCACCAAAGACATAGTGGAATAAAAGACATAAGCTTTTTAAATTATTACTATAATTTTTCCATTAAATTTAATTTGTGTTTTAATATTTTATATTCAAAATTATATGCATATTTTTTTTATCAAAATTATATCCAATTAAATATATAATAATAAAATATATTTCCTAGCAAAAAAAAACTTTTTTTAAAAAATAATTACATTAATTACATGAATCTTAATTATATATTTGAATATTTATGGCTTATGGAGCTGAGGTTTGTACTTATTTGTGTATTATCATTTTGTGATTTGATTGATAGATTATATGCATTCACTTTGATACAAATGATAAAATCCAATCTTGGGGTGTGAGTGAATTGTTATAATCAAAAGATAGTGGAATTGAACATGCTAATTAATTAGAAACTGAATGAGTGTATGATAAAATCCAATCTTGGGGGGTGAGTGAATTGTTATAATCAAAACGATAGTGGAATTGAAAATGATAATTAATTAGAAACTGATTGAGTCCATCTGTTTTATGCAGCATCTACCAACTATGGTTGTCTTGAGAGGTCATTTGATCTGTTAGGCAATAGTTGTGGTAGTAAAATCCTGAAACTGAACTTCACTTCTATCATCCAGACTAGTATAACTAACTGTCCTTCATCTTTCTAAAGGGTAAAAAATCCAGACACTTGTTTTTTATTTTTATTAAGTTGTTGTTATGATTTATTTTACAGGTAATGCTTGGAATCCTATGAAGCATGGACACGGACATGTTTACGATATAATATGTATATGGTGACATCATGACAATTTGTGAAAAATAAGGATATGGATATGGCAAGATAGATAATAAAAAAAGAGTATTTTTTATATATTATAATCATATGTTAAAAATATATAATAGATATCGGGTTGATTTTTAAAGGTCAATTACCCTTACAAAGAAAATTTGATGTAAATACAGCACTAAAAAAACATAGGATGTCCTTATCCGTACAAGAATTGTCTTTTTTTTTTTTTTTTCATCGAATCCGATCAAGTTCGATATGTAATGTTTTCCGACAGGTCCAGCTGGTACGTATGTCGTAAGCATTAAAGTGTTAACAATGTAACACAAATACGCAAGAGGTTCAAACGTATCCTTACTTCATAATTGGAATCTAAACCATCCATGACAAAGTTTGACCTTGTATATTTAGAAGTTTTGAGTGCTTCGCTTCTTTCCTGCCAATTAATTTTATGTTCTGTTAATAGAAGCGATAAGTTTCGCTCTACAGGCATTCGGTTTATAAAAATGATATGTTTCAGTTCACAGGCATTTGGATAGGTTGCATTATTTGTGGAGACAACATAACTTTCCAGTATTTAAATATTTATGGTTTCTTTTTGTTTCAAGTTCTGGTAACCCAGTTCTTGTACTGAAACAGAATGTGAACAGGGAAAATAAAGAGAGAATGAAAATGACTAACAGAAAACAAAAGTTCTGACGCAATGGAAAAATTCCTAAGCTGTAAGGGATGGTTTTCCTCCATTATTGAGCATGATACATGCTAGAATTGTGATCCACTGTAGCCAGTTGACAAATACTGATATCCCGACTTAAGATGTGCAGTTGTTCGAACATAGCAATAATTATGAGTCGCATAAAAAATTCAAGCTACAAAAATTGCCTAAAATAAGCTGTGATGTTTTTTGCATTCATTTTGAAGGAAGTACAATGCTGGGTTTGCATAATTTATGAGACAATATTTGGAGTAGCATGCTGATTCAGTTTAGACTCCTTAAAGATTGTCAGGCTCGTTTCACATGAAGAAGTTGATCTGAAATTCTGCAGAATAAATTGAGCATAGTTATTTATAAGCTTCTGCAGAATAAATGGATGCTTGAGTTTGTGTTCTTTTATGTCAAGACATAGGACATCCCCCTGATTTGATGATTGAAATGAGCTCCTCAAACCAATACTTGTGCTTAGCAGCTGGAACACTTTGCCTCGATCAACGTAGATGTTTCTTTACGCCAACCCAGAGTGCTTATAAAGATCTAAGAAGCATATAAAAATGTTTAGTGCCTACTATAAATAGTTAAAATTCATACATAAAGGCAAACAGTTCTCCAAGCAAGTATAAAAGAAAACCACATGAAGCTCTGTTGCTTTACATTGTTTATCATATAACCTCAGGTTCGTCAAAAGCTCAATCCAGACAAAGATTTTCATTTGTGGCTCCAACAAACTGAAAGAAACTATCATCGGAAAAAACAAAGACTTTTGATCAATGTTTTATGGATCGGATATGTTATGTCATCAATATGAAGAATTGTGCTAGAGTGGAATGAAACTTCTAAACATTATTGCACAACAGAATGATATTACAAAGAATTTTAACACTGTTACATTTCGAATATCAATTTTGCATTTGTAGAAGGCCCTAGCTCAGCCAAATTTACCTGCTTGATGCAGTTCTTACCCTATCTTATCATTTATGTTTGCACTGCTGACACAGAAAAGATTTCTGTTGTAGGAAAGGAGCTGCTGCCCTAAGAACTTCGAAACCACCAATGAATTGAAGTTATTTCGTCATGTCAGACAAGTTCCACAACATCAGATTTTTGTTTTGAAGCATTTGGAATAAAAATGGCAGTACCAAAAAGGGGAGAAAAAAAAAGGAGAGAAAGGAATCCTAACAAGGCTGGAAATTTTCATTATGCTAAGTATTATGATTTCTTATAATATATGGTTTCTGATCATAAACAAGGAACCTATATACTCAAAGAGTATGATATATGGGCTATGGATGGTGGAACACGATTCACGGGTATGGAATGTTCAAGGCACTTATTGCCGGTTCTGGAAGACCACCTTATTCAGTTTAAAAGACAAAATTATGGTAAATTAAACATAAAATATAAAAGATTTTCCTTCACTATAAAAGAAGAACCTTTCAAAATGATTTCAGAACCCTGGAAATAACTAATTTTTTTGGCAGTCTGTGTATAGTTGTAACATTACCACTTTCATAGGAAACAATGTTTCCCTTGGGGGAATTTTGGCGCCACTGACACTGTCCTCACTCCCAAGTCGGGCAATAAATCTTTAATATCTCATCATTTAAAAGAAATTGAGTTCTCAATGGGTTTGACGCAGAGATTTTGGTAGACTCATTCAGGCTGCCATAGGGTCAATTTGACAGCAGTGAAGGCAATGCATGCTTCAGCTAAGTAAACAGCATTCTTCTTTTTCAGGTCTTTCCATCCGCTTTTGCAAACCACTTTGTGTGCTCCTAAGAAGGCACTACTCACTAGTCTCTGCGAGTCACTGAAACCAGAATTAGATATCAAATAAATCTTCAAGCATATAAGAAGATAACAAACATTTAATAATTGAAACTATTCTTGAATGATTATGCCAAAAAAAAAATCAGAAGTCAATGAAACAAAATGATTAATAGATATAAACATTTAACATATCTGTTCTGTTCTTGAAATTGTCCTATAGGGAATTTTTACCAGAAGACTGAAAGAAATATGTTTCATAGACTACAAAAAAGAATTTTCTAAAGTTTTCTAACTTTTAGTAAACAATCCAATGCCATAGTTACTCAGTCTTTTCTGTGACCAATCACAGGTATGGCAGAAGGAAGTACACATAAAGAAAAGCCAAAGACATGAGGATATCATGAATGAGTCATTAACATAAGAAAAAAATATATATAGAAATAAACTATAAGACCTACTCATTCTGAAACTATTCCTAAATTTTCTTTTAAAATGGTAGCAAAACATTGAATCCATGTATCAAACCTGGAGAGAACCATCTGCAAGTTCCAATAACTTCTAAATTAAATCATTATACTCCATGACGGAAGGAAGAACTTCTTTCTCAATTCTGCAAATATAGATTACACTACAATCAAAAGTTTTGCATAAAAGAGATTCACTCGTTTCTAACAAATGAGCTTCAAAAATACCTGTCCCCAATTTAATAACCAGGATTTTATCAATGCTTAAACTTAAAAGGTTAAAGTCTGAATTTGATTCCTTTACTACCTCAATCCTATCGGTTTAGTCCAACTTCAATTTTAATGAATTTAGTCCATGTAGTTTTATTAAACATAGATTTTTTATACATATTTCATTTCATTGTAAAACAAAAAGCTATGTGTGTAATGGATTGAACTAGTGAACATTCTATTATGAAATAAAAAAAATAATAATCAAGAATATAAATCACTTGAGCACTTGATTTAATAGTACGTTCATGTTCTTCAAATAAGTAGCATATAATTGCAAAGTTGACATACACCTGATTTCTGGGCGTTTCTTCCGGTAACAAATTAGCAATTAGAATGCAAGGAATGTGGGCTATTTTGGGCCACTCTTGTCCTTCATCCTCCTTGCATCGTTCTCTTAGCAGTGGACAGTCAACAATATCTAGTTGCAAAAGTGAGTCAAACATCTCCTTTTCCGGAAGGAATTTGATCACGGGGCAGCTTCGGATTTCCAATGATTCAAGAAATTTGAGATTTTGAAAGCCTTTGGAGGATAGAGTTTCCAGGTTTGGAAAACCGAAGATTGTGAGGGAGGTGAGAGTGCGGGGCAGAAGCATTTCCTCACATGGGAAAGACACCACATCTAGAGAAGCACCGTTGATGGACAAATGTTTAAGGGAGGTGAGTTTGTGCAAACCCCACTCGATCACTGACTTGCAAATATTGGGTTGCAAGATTGTAAGTGAAGTGAGATTGGGAGGGAACCCCTCTTCCGGAAATGATATCACACTTGGACAATCAAATATGAGCAATTCTCGCATAGAGACGATGTTGTGGATGCATTTAGGTAAGGCATGGAGTTTTTCACACCGAGAAAGGCTAAGATATCTGAGCTTGTTTAATTCACGAGGCAAAGATCTCAAATTATCACAACCGCAGATAACCATCGATTCAAGGGAAGAGTTCTCTTCAATTTCTTGAGCTATGGACTCTAGTGCTCTGCATCTTCTTATATCGAGGTATTTAAGCCCCATAGGTAACTTGCCATTGGATGACAAGGATGCCAACTTTTCACAACCATAAATGTCAACATGTTGAAGCCTAATAGGTAACTCGCCCCTTGAGGATAAAGATATCAGAGACTTACAATTTTCAATCACCAAGTGCTCTAGAAGAGGCGTGCTGTTGATGTTGTTATTTACTCCATCCAGCAAGTACTGCAAATTCTCACACTCCTTAATGGTTAAACGTCTTACGTTTGGAGGCAAGTTTCCATTTGAAATTGAAATCAATCTTGGGCATCCCTCAATTCCTAGCACCGTAAGGGATCTGTAGCTGTGTAGGCTTTCTGCTAACCTTTCTAGCCTTTCACAACAGTGTATGCTCAAATGTTCAATATGGCAAGGGATTCCTAACTGCATATGCTCTTCCTTTCCGTCCTCTGCCCCTATGGAAACAAGTCTTGAGCAATTATGAATTTCCAAAAAGCGAGTAGGCCTCAAATGTGTTGAGGGTCCTTCCTGGTTCCGCCATGAAGAAATTAGCTCCTCACATCCACATATATAAAAAGACGTTCAGCTTTTATCAACCCTAACATCATCCCCTCCATTGGAGAAGTGAATTTTGAAATGTCTGAAAGAGAGACTCTTTCAATGAATGAGCCAGAATTTGCACAACTTGTAGACGACACCTCTTGGCACCCATTAATTTCCAAGTCAGACAACTTTGGAAGGCTTGAGAGTGAAACTACCAACTTCTCACATTCTTGAATCACAAGTCTCTCCAATGAAGGAAGACAACTAGGTAGACTTCTCAGCTGTTGACACAAATTAATCTTCAGCTTCTTCAAGGAAGGAAGACGATTAGGTAAACTTCCTAACAACTTGGGGCAATTTGAAATGATGAGCTCATGAAGGTGTTGGAAACTCCTTACATTTTCATCAACTTCACAGGGATCCCATTCCTCCCATTCTGGCATGTCCTGAAAACGTAATCTCTCTAGTGACGGAAATGCATTAATCGATAGATCCTTTCCAAAAATATTAGCACCCACTTTTTTAACCTTACTCATCCTCCGGATAGAAAGCGATTTTAGCGACGTTAATCTTCCAACAGCTGGTAATAATGTGCAATTTGGACAGTAATACAGATCCAGAATCGATAGCTTTCCAAATGAAGGATCTCCGAACCAATTTGGGAATGTTTCACCTCCATAACATTCGATGGTAAGCCTTTCAAGCATTTTAGGAGGTTGGAGTGAATCCAAGATGTCCTTGTGAATTTCTTCTCCGGCGAAATTATAACTCCACTCTAAAGCTAAATCACGAAGGTTCGACTTATAACATAACCCAGCCACCCATGCATCTTGAGCTTTGACAACATTCTGCAATTCTGAAATAACAAGTCCACCCTTAAGATTAGACAAATTCTCCATCTCCCTTATCTTACGGCCATTGTCTTGACTGACAACAAAATTTGTCAATGTTTGGAAATTGGTTAGTTCACCGATTCCCATTGGCATCATTTTTATTGAATCTGCACCTCTAATGTCAAGATGCCTTAGGTTAATTAAAAATCTCATTTCAGAAGGAAACTCTTCAAGACGAGAACACCCCGCAACAGCAAGGTCTCTAAATTGTAAAGCTTGCATATTGAATCCGGTAGAGTTTTGATTATAGTGCCAGAAAAATTTAGATAACGCAGATGCACCAAATCTCCAATAATATTGGGAAACTCCGTCAGGTAGCACCCTTGTAAAGAAAACACCCTTAAGTATTTAAATTCTGGCAACAACTCACTGAGAACTTGATTAGAGATATACCTCCACCCTTCGGGCATCTTCAACGGTAGGAAGGTTCTTAAACCCTTCTTTCCGTAAAAGACTTGGAACATTTTAATTCTGTCTTTCCTACCACCAATGTAAGATGAATGGCGAGCATGACTGGAAACGTTCAATGCCTTGTCACCCTCCACTCTGAAGCATATATCTTTGGCAACTGAATGAGCCAAATCATTAATCAGATCATGCATTATATATCGAGAATCATCCTTGTTGGATATTTCAAAAAATGACCTTTGTACAAGTTCTTGAAAGTACTCATGACCCAAATCTTCATTTGCTTTGTAGCTTCCACTCGCAGAAAGCCTTCTGCCATCCATAACAAGACTATTTCTTCCTCGGTAAATTCATAGTCTTTGGGGAGTAAGGCACAGTAAGCAAAACATCGCTTTAGATCTGCAGGAAGATGATGATAGCTTAATCGTAAAGCTTGAAATATGTTACTCCTCTCTTCTGGTAAATTCCAAATCTCACTTTTTAGTATCTCTTTCCATTTACCAATGTCCACCTTATTGCGCAAAAGGCCTCCAATGGTCTTAGCTGCCAAGGGCAAACCCTTGCACCTTTTCGCAATCTGTACAACAAATTCTCCCAAGTTTGGATGCCCACTAAAATCTTTTGCTCCTAATGCATGTTGAGTTAATATAGAAATGCAATCATCATCTGACAACGTTGGCAGCTTGTAATCTGGGATAGTACCCACCATTGATGAAACAGTTTTATCACGTGTTGTCACAACAATCGTAGTTCCTACGCCAAAAGGGGATATTAGACGACTCCAATCATCATAGTTTTGAAGCCAAAAATCATCCAAAATCAGAAGTAGTTTTTTCTCCACCAGCTTCTTCTCCAATTCTGTTTGAAGCTTATTCAAATCATCTCCAGCATTAGAAGATTCAGAACTAACTGATCGCAAAATTGATTTCGTTATCTCCTCCATCTTAAAGTCTTCAGAAACACAGACCCATGCTTTAAGATCAAAATGATTATCTACACGACTATCAATTGTAGACAAGCTGAGCAAGCGTTGTTTTGCCAATCCCTCCCATGCCAACGATGGGAATCACAGAAGCTCCAAAAATATTGCTATTATCACTCCCAAAATCAATTCAAGGATTGCTTCCTATTCTTTTTCCCGACCGCAGATTTGAGTTTTCATTCACAAGCAAGTGGTTGATCGCCATTCCAATGCTCTTTTTCGCCTCCCACCACCACTTTTAGTCAAAGCCCAAGACACCTTTTTGTGCTTCTAAATTTTGAAATCTAGCAGTGATTTCTTTTATCTTGACATCATTTCCTTATTAAATGATAAATGACTGCTGAACCTGGTAACGCAAGTATGAACGAGCTTTTGTACCTTACTGGCGCTGTGATCTTGATGTTCCCTCTTTAACTTGAGTCGCAAAGCTTCTGTAGCAAACTCATCCAATATGTCATCCGCATCGTATGCCAAGTCTTGAAGCTGGACCAACCAACTTTTCACATGCCGGTCCTTCTCTGCATCATCTAGCACTGCATGAATATTGTGCAAAGTCTTTTCCCACTTCTTGAGTTCCTCGCAAACTTCCTTCTCAGTTACAAAGTTGAGAAACTCAGAAGAGGCCAACTTACTAAACAACCCTTCAAAGAACACAGATAAAGCAGCTTCAACGACGGACATGGCTTTTGACCTGCAAAAACACAGAGATTATGTGTGTAAACTTGAAACAGATGAGGGAAAAAAAGGTGGTGCATCCAAAAAGAAAGAGATGCTCAATCAGTAATTTATGAAGGGCAATGGGTAGTAGGCTTTACTCTACGCCATTCTTATCAG